GGACTTTAGCACTTACATAAAGAATCACAATCAAATCGTATCGAAATTAAGTAGAGACTTGTTTGTGTGTGTGTTTTACTTCACAAAAATATTCAAGTAATACACACATATACCATAAATAAATTGTTTAGGTATAATGTACCAAAGTGTCAGGTATAATGCGCGCTGCACTGTACCTCCGTGTTCAGTAATAAACCAGCTTCTCTACGGAGTGCAGTTATTTATGTTACCTACCCTATTGGCCGTAGATATGTCACAAATATTTGTATTATACAGGAGTCAAACCTGCAATCATTACATTATACATAGCCAGATCAATTTTATTTTCAATCATATAGTAAAAGTAATAAATATATAAACAATAAAAGATTGACATTTGAAAATGTATTAACACCCCTAGGGCTGAACAAACCTACAACGCGTAGGATTCACAAATTTACTTTAAATAGAAATGAAAATTGAAATTAAATTGTTAATTACAGAGAAATGGTTAATTGAAAAGGCTAATATTTAGGTGTCTATTCTGCGTACAAAAGTTAGATTTTGTAATGCCCGACAAATAAACAGTAGCCGTTAAATCTCATAAATGGAACTCTATTTAAATAAATTTAATTGTTTTTACTTCTGGCATGTCGTAGAGACTGTGTAATTAATTTAGTCGATGGGTAGGTATAATTAGAGTCTGGGTACCTATTCGAAACTCTAGAGAAATCAAGCTCAATTAATTAAATAAATCCTTGAAATTACTTTTACTATGTCAATATTTATTATTTGAATGTACTAAATATCTAAGGATGAGAATAATTGAGACAATATTGGAATAATAATGATTTTTTAATCTTCCTAGAAATATAAGGGAGTATAAAAAAAATCTGTGTGGTAATAACCATCTGAATAAATTACATAAAGATATTGAGTTTGTGTTTTACATATCAAATCTGATAAAAATCAGCTCACGGCACTGATATTGAAACTTCTTTAAATTTTGGAAGATACACTATTAGATATATATTTTTTGCTAAGAGATATAAAACTTACAAAGTTTAGAGCAGCTGGGACAAACCGAAGCAGCAGACCACTAGTCTGAAATAAATGCCTCCTATTGTAATAATTAAACATCAGGCATGTTTAATTATTACAATAGGATACAGTGGTTGATTTAGTATATTAGAAATTAAATTTATATTAGAACTGTTGCTTCTCTCAATTTCATACCCATAGTAAGATTGATTATTTTCAGAATGTCTTTTCTCTCTTTCACCCCCATTGCCCCACCACATATATTAAAAAAAAAAATCTCCTTTTTAGGGGTTATTTTTTCAGCTTTCTTTGAACTACGTATTGAATATATTTTTATTAAACCAGTTTTTACGTAAAACTTTACTATACAAACAGTACAGTACAGTAACAGTATTACAATTATACAATTATATTACATGTTGAGCTAATATAAGCGTAGCGTTTAAAATCGACAGTAGGTACTTTTATTTGTATTCAGTTTATTTTTATACTACTTTCATTCTCTTTACTTATTATTCTGAATGTGTTTATCATCCTCACTCAAAATATTGAAGTAAATATGAGTTCATATAAGTTTAAATAGACGGAGGGAATATTCGTATGCAAATCCATTAATTAATCTGCTACGTCGGGAGGCAGTGTTTACAAAATCTGTTATTAACTTTTCTTAATTCCTTATAGAAAAGGTAAATAGAATGCAGCATATTTAACCTTTTTAATTGTGTTAGGCAGTAGTAATTGTGCGCAATAAAGATAAAGCAATTCCATATCTTGGTAGAATTAAATTAATAAATAGTTACGAGATTTAAAATTTTAAGTATATACACAAAATTTATTAAGAACCATCTTGATTACGTCAGCATATTCGGTCATACAACAGATATACATAGAGTCAATAAAATTAATAATGTTAAGAAAATTGACAATTATATTACAGCTTCGTAGAAAAAAATCGCATAATAAAGAAGCTTTCAACAGTTCCAAATAATTACGATGTTATTGAAGTTATCGCTCCGTCTAATTTGATAGTTGTTCTATAAATTATTATATAAGTATTTTTTCAGAGTTTGTGCACATACATAAATCGTCTTTGTCATGTATGTTTTTTAAATACTAATCAAATGACATACAGCTATTCTTACTGTATCCAGAGCTAAAGAAGAGAACAAGACATAAATCATACTTATTATAAAATTTTCTTCCTTATTTTCATCAATTGCAATTTTATATTCAGGATAATTCCAATTCAAATAATAATAAACTTTATTAGGACTTAACACATACACTGAAAATCAATGAATATGATAATATATGCTACCAAGATTTAGTTAAACTTATTTGTCACTCAGTTAAAAATTGTCTCCCGTACCCATCGACATTGACGTCGTTGTTTTCCATTCAGCACGTCTATTGGAACCTAGTCGAAATGACCGAAGAGATAAATACTTTAATTTTCCATAGAATTATTTATGTTAAGACCCAATTGTCAATATTAATAATGTGTACTAAACTCATAGTCACAGTACGATCGTTATCAAAATTTGTACATCAAAATTTTAGAAACAAAATGAAAATCAAGTAAATAACTACGATTCATGAAAATAACAAAATGAAAGTAAATAACAAACTTGATATTAATCAGTAAACATAGTTTACTAATTATTTAGTCATTGGATCGGAAATTACGTTTAGAGCGTAATATTTAAGGGGCCTCGATGGGGGAGACGGAATTAATCCATCTATGTGCACAGGTGTGCTTAACTTTGAAGTACTTAGTATGTTATTGAATGAAAATAAACATATTTTCAGTATTATGAGACGTATAATATTTTAAGGTATGGCGGTAACGTCTCCTCTTGCTACATTGGATTCAAAGTATGTAGATATCAGCGAAGTTAGGTTTAATTTCATTAAATTACAATAGTACACAGATGATTTCATACCGTCCGAGAATAGTAAGCAAATTTAATATTTTCATTATTTTTAATGCATGAAAAAGAGAATCTTGAGATTTATAAGATAAGATATGCAACTATTGACTAGAACTGTCGTAATTACTGGGTAATATTATAAAAATTATGCTCTAAATTCTTTGCTAAACCATGAATTTTGTAAATAAAATAAAATATTATTCATTCTTATTTTTTCTCAATATTTCACCTATGTTTAGAAGTTAACAGATTACGAAATTGTTTAATTTGTATCTTTATTTATAATTGCATATAATAAAATATATATCTATTAATAAGATAGGACGTGAAACTTCACGTAAGCTTGGTTTAATTTTATATATCAGAGAGCCATATTTGCTAATTACTTTTACGACTTCTCAAAAGATAAAGCCATGAGTCAATGACACATAATGTAGAAATTGTTAGCAAAGTACGATGAATTTTAACTAAATTGTTTAAAACTGTTTAAAATGAGCGACCTTTATGGAAAATGCATTAAAGATTGTGCTTGTTAAATGCTCAGCTTACTTTAATTAGTTCTGCAGTGGGTTCCATAATTCATATTATTTGTATTATATCCAGATAAATAATTATCTAAATTAACTATACTTTGAAACTTGTGTATTTGTTGTGTATAGTTATATTCTGTATCTTACAATAATAATTCGTTTAACCTTTTTATATTTCTATCAACCGCAAATAACATGACCTTTAAAAATTATCTCGATATCAAAATAATTTATTTCTGCAACAATTATTATTTTTATAGCATAACATTATATATCTTTCTAGAAATGTTAAGAAAATATGAGTACCTAATAATATAATAGAGTAGTCGGAGGTACTCATATTATCAACTGTAAACGTCATGGTGAACGTAAGACTTGTATCTTCAGTTATCCACTTTAGCTCGTAATTGTACCTACCAGGGTATCTCGGATTAAGTTATTTTGTTATAGGTGTTTCAGTCACCAAAATCCAGTCAGAAATATGAATTGGTAAAGGTTTTGTGTATCGGCTAATTTGAATTCGCAACTTTCGGCCTACATCGGTGTAATAAAAAACACTAGGTTGTTACACACGCTCTACTTGACAAGTTTATTTTTATACTATTATAAATATTATAAAAAAAAATAAAATGTATATTGATTAGAAATATTTATTAACTTTACTTTTCAGTTAGGTACATACCTTACAACCATAATACAATAATACGCATTATATCAACTTTCTTCACTTGAATTTTTATTAAACACAGTTTTAAGCAATCTTGTCTCTCAGGAGAATATCTTGACTCAGATTGCGAGAAATTTTTCGAAATTTGCCACATCACCCCAGCATTTTCCCGGGCGTGACTAACATCGCGTTATTGAAAATAAATGCTCATAACGAGCTCTTTTTTATTAATATACTTTCCGTTAATGATTAGTTGGTGTAGTAAATATATACATATAAACCTACATCTTGAATAACTCTATCAATTAAAAAAAATGGCTTCAAAATTTGTTACTTAGTTTTAAAGATTTAAACATACATAGTGACAGATAGCGACAGCGACTTTGTTTTATACTAAGTAATACTAGCATCAGTAAGTACGTAATCTTCATTTGAACCAGTCCGAGAAAAACTAAGACATTATTATATTATACTGTAACATAGTATATTCTGTTTCTGAAATTTGAAAGTTAGCCTTAAAAGAAGCAAATGTTCAGCATATTCATGCTCTAAACTTTATTGTACAAAGAAAACTCAATATCATATAAAGAAGTGCAGATATGCATTTTGGTTATTAGCACTTATATACCGCTTTGTTTTTCGTTCCAAAAGGTTCCAAAACGTTATGAAGAGAGAGATTTCATTAACGATAAGCCTTTTATACTCACCTTTTACAATATTTTCTCTTTTATGTCTTATTTATAACCACTCAACGTTAAATAAAAGAACACTTCCCGAATTTAAAGCTATGGAAAACAGGGTACTACGTAATACAATAGAAAAATATGCTCATACTTTAATAAAACAACGTAAAAAAAAACAACATTTTAATGACGGTACTACTAATCTCCATTTTTTAAATTAAAAAAAAAAACAGTAACCATAAATACATTATATACATTAGATTGATATAGTTAGAATCTTAAATAATCTACACATACATATCTACATCGTGTCTGTATTTAGAAGCTTTCCTGCCCGTACAAACAACACACGTCACATGTCTGTTTCTAATACCACTTTGCATTTCGAGGTAATGTCCACTATAAATCCGATTCTGTTTATTCACTTCCCTCGCTTGTTATAAAAGACTTACGTTTTGTCCATTTGAATATTTTGCTGAAGACCTTAATGATCGTATTGTGGTTAATCTCACTGAGGATGTATGGTCACCGCGACGCAACAGAGAAGCTTGGTTGCCGCCGGATTCTCTATAAAAAATAAGTAAAAAAAAACTATTACAAGGGATGTCAGTAAGATATTTGTAAATAAAATTGTCAAAATAAATGTCTACTTATGGTGATAATTACTTATAATTATAATTAAACTATCGATTATGATTTTATAAAATATTAAACCCTTTTCATTAAAAAAGACTTTTCTAAATTTCTTAAATAATTGCAAACTTATTACGTAAGTTTTAATAAACTTCAGGAAAATTTATTTACAGTCCAATATTAATTTACGAAATTCTTTGAATTGTATGTGTATTGTGTAAAAATAATGAAAGATAATAAAAACATATGATAATTTTTATCATATTTTTTTATAAATATAACCGACATATAGCCGATGTGCAAAGCATATTCACATTTCAATATATGTGAAAGCCATTATCATTCCATACTTCATAATATACTATTACATGTAGTTTATAGAATCTTCTTCGATATGTTTGATAAACTCACTAAACTATTAAGTTCAATACTGCGTGCCTTTTAAATTAAAAAACAAAAGCATGTTTTCTGTAAGTTACACGATACCTTTGGCAAAAATCCAAAACAGAACTGATTTTGTTAATTCTTTTGTCATCGATAGGCTTTACCCCCGAACTTGTTACATACTAAATTCGCCCCGATTAGAGTAGATTTTTCGTAGAACGAACAATATTTGTTATGAACACAAACTTTGTCTCACAAAAAATAAAGTATTCCTATATAACGAATTATTTATTATTTACTGACACAAGGAAGAAAGCTGTATGATTAATTCAAGCCGAATTAATAATAACATTACGTTACGTGTGTTCAACAATAAGCTAGTAGGAAAATTTAGATAATATTATCATTGTGCATAATACTAAGCGTATCGAATAAAGATTAAAATTGTCGTCTCGTTTCAACGTTAACACAAAGATACATTATGCAAGCAGCCGATAGTCGATCGTGGAAAATACTGCAAAACATAACGAAGCTTTAACGAAAGTACAAATAAAATTTGAATATCTCAGTGCTATTGTACTGTATAATCAGAAGCATAATCTCAATTTATATCTCACAAGAAATAAGATTTTGTGAAATATGAACACATTCTCAAAGGTCTATTGCCTAAATAAATTGCTCAAAGCCATGTATTAGGCCTTCTGACATATGCATATCCATAATTCTTAAGCATTTGGAATGTTAGGTTCTTTTTTATAAGAAAACAGGAACATTTTATTACATGTCATTATAATACCTACACCGAAAAATTACATTACGGTAAAAAAAAGTATAATAGTATGGATAAAATGAAAATAGTCCAAAAATTATTAGTTATTATTCTAAATATATATTTATCGACGCAATATGTAAAATATTATTTATCACTTAGAAAGGTATAATAAATTGTATAATCGTTAAATCGAAAAATATGTTTTTTTTATGGAATTGAAAGGGCAAACAAGCTGACGGTCCACCAAATGATGAGTAGTAACCTTTTCATTCACATACAGCACTATGGAACATGATGTTATCACGTGATGTTCATTATACTAGACAGCGCTGCTATTCTGAAGAACTATGAGGTCAGGCCTCTTATCCTGTAATTTCACTTTCTTATCTCACCCCTCCACTAAAACACAGCTTACAAAGGTACTGTGCGGCTGAAATAGGTAAAACTAAGACAAAAACAGACGATCTTTTTAGGTCTACCTGAGTATATTTTGTAAGTTTTCAATCAAATGCGGCAATAAACAATCGCCAAAATATGAAACGCAGTCGTTTTCAGTCGATGCCAGGTTTGATTTCTGGTCATACTATTCATTCATTTATATATATGAATATACTATTTAATTGAAAAGAATACGAGCTGAGTTTCTACTCAGATCTTCTCAGTCAGATCTTCTCATCTCGAAATTATTGCGAACTGACAGTAGATTTGACATATCATAAGAATCTGTAATAGACCTACATAAATAAAGATATTTTGAATTTTAAGTTTAAACTATATATGAGTAACGTCACCTTTTATCCCTGGTATCGATGACACAAATAAGCAACTTATACAAGTCAAGATCAATCACTGCTTAAAAAGCTTTTTTTTTTATATAAGTCTATTAAATATATAATTATTAACTATTCTATTAAATATATAAGACCATTTACTGTACTACAAATAAATGTAAATATTTCTTCATGTAATAGAAAGTGATCTATACTTTCAGTTTATATCAAAGACCATTTTGCTTTCATTTGTAAGGACTCTTAGACCCGTCGTTTTTAACAAAAGCGAGAAAATGGTATCAAGTATTTTTTTATTATTTCAAGATAAATTTGTTGTGCTCTCTTCAAAGGTTTAAGTTGTTTCAACCCTTATAATAAAAAAAGATGTGCTACCCTTTTCAAAAGCAAATACTTAGAATCACTGATGATATATATTTTTACCTGTCGCTATGTCTGGATAGCTTTTTCTTCGGCCACAGATGGAAGGCGCCATATATAACTGGATTGACTAGACTATTCGACATGCCAAAGAAGAATATTCCCGATAAAAGTTCTTCACTTTGCTGAAAAGAAATGTCTAATATACATTTCTTAAAATTTATATTAGTGCGATTTTTTTAACAAAATCGTTATGTTAAGATCTCACTTCCACTATTATTGTGAATAAGGTGCATGTGAATAAACTGAAAAATCGTATTTGATTTAAAACTATACTTTAACACAAAGAATTACAGATCAATTATTAACGAAATATTAAATATTAATAATTATACCCCTAATTACCTAAATTATATAGCATTTATATGAAAAATATCTAATAGGTTATAGAGACCGGTTATACTTACATCTTTATCAGGATTAAGAAATGTAAATATGATCATCATAATATAATATGGAGTCCACCAAACGATAAAAGCTGCTACAATTACGACAGACATCCTTAGAGATTTCATTTTAGCTCTATCGATGAGTCTTCGTCTGTTCATATCGGGAGTTAGATACTTCTCCTGTCGTATTACTTCAGGTTGAAATACTTTCTCGCTCTCTGAAAGGAAAGTTTATTAATTATTTTAAGAAAAATAACTATTAGAACAAAGACTTCATTTTTATTAACAAGGACATTTTTTTACGCATAAATATAGCTACCTACTTTTATAAAATTAATCAATATTACAGTATATAGTTCTATATATGTATATTTAATTAATGATTATGGTACACTAGATAGAATATATACCACTGCACGATAAAGGGACAATAAAGTATGACAATGTGAGGATGTAGCCGGGCAGAGTGAACCCTATTTCTACTAATAATAGCCAAACTAAATCTGTGATTCAATGCTTTGGAATGTAAGATTAAATTTAGCAATTAGTGAAATTACTGGATCACACTACTAACGCATACTACTCTGTGCGTCTGTTTTCGTCTTTAGACAAGGGTTAATTCCATCAGGTAACCTGTCAGCTCGTTTGCCATTCTAGTTCAATGAAATAAATACTACACTGGCTAACTTTACCCTTTATACAGAAACGCACCACTATTACTACTTCACAGAAAGCTATACACCTAAGTTACATAGAGATATCCTTAGACCTAAGAGGATTAAATTGTCTGAACTATTCACTTACTTGCTATAGTTCTTACTGTCGATACATAAGTAGACACAAGGATGAGTAATGGTAGTACAAACATAAAGATTAACGACAGTGTTGTATAAGCTTGTTCTTGCCATCTCTCTGTGTAGAAACCGTGAGTGACGCATTGATAAAAATCCTCAACAAATGGTCCTTTTGCCACTCGGAATACTACAGTCTGCAAATCAATAGATGTGGTCAGCCACAAAAATTTAAAAATATTTATGAGTAAACAGGTTTCGTCAAGGAGTAACTATGCAGCAATTATTTTTAAATAGAACGTATTTAAAATAAGTTGCTACATAACTTATAAAAAAAAATTAATATTCATTAGTTACTTTCTACGTTGACTTATTTTAACTAGTATTAAAATTATTATTATTATATAGATACGCTACGCAGTAAATAACTCGTTAATTATTAAATTAAATATATTATATTATTATAATTATGTAATGTCTCAGGATAATCTAGTCCCAAACTAAGCAGAGATTGTGTATGGGTACTGAACAACTAATAAAAAATTGAGATATATAGTTTTTTTTTGTAAATACATACAAATTATACACAAGAAACATACAAATCTGTACAAACAATTATACTCATGAATGCAATGAGGAATCGAACCAGTAATTACAGGAAGCAAGGCAGTGTGATAAACAGCTAATCATTGAGGCCGTTAACTATAATATTGAATCTATTTTCAGTTTTTTACTTTATTAATACTACTTAATTACTTTATATTTTACGTACAATAATTTTACAATTTGTAGACAACAAAGTTGTAATTTGTTTCTTTGTAATAAATTAATATTAATAAATATTAAAACTAAGAGATAATTTAATTGAATATTGTATTAACATTTTACTAGATATCTATATGAAACTAATAAAGGGTATATTAATCTAAATACAATTATTTATATATTACGGGACATATAATTATTTGCGCGAGTTTTGAGAAATGCTTTTGAATAATTTATATGTATTATATGATATATAATATGTAATGATGTATAATGTATTATATGTATTAAATGCCTGCTACAAGGAAGTTGTATTGTTTCGTTAATTTTTTTTTTTTCTCTTTTAGATCTTGCAATCAGTCACATGGACTATAAGCAGATGTGGTGTTTCGTCTGTAACAGGTAGAGTGCCGCTCTCAGTAGAACAGCTCCTCGCTCTTAAAAAGTCAGTCCTGTCTGACTATCTTGGTCAAATATATCACGCCTTTTCTTTAATCGGCGCAAGTTTTCAGGTAATGTAAGTTGTCCAGCGAATCTATTTGGGTGCCTGTGTAGTCGTGATTTGTATTTGTTGCTGTAGTCATTAATTACATCCTTAACCATGGGGATATCAAGTAGTTTGTGGATCTCAGTTGTTTTTATAAACCATGGTGCATCCGAAAGTTGTTTCAATATATAGTTTTGAACTCGTTGTATTGTCATTATATTGGAGTCACTAGCAGAGCCCCATAGTTGTATCCCATATGTCCAGATTGGCTTAAACATTGCCTTGTAAATGAGAAGTTTGCTATCGACAGCCAATCTTGAATTTCTACCAAGCATCCAGAAGAGACTTCTATATTTGTTTCGTTAATTTAAAGATATTTTACACACGCTAAGTACTTTATATTCTTACTTATTTTCAAAATCAGAGAGATGGTATCCAATATAATATATTCCTAATTTTAGTAGGCAATAACAACGAACATAACTCACAGTTATCAGATTATGTAATTTATTTACTTCATCCTGCATTTCTCCTAATAAATTATTAAATCTTAGATAAAGTTTTCGCGGCTACCTTTGTTTATTATGCTGTGTGACCAAATATGACCAAAACAACAATATAAATATACCAAATTTACTTATCTCTGCCTATGTTTGACGATGGTGAATTTAAACGCTTTGTCCATTTCAATAAAATACCGACTTAATTACTGTGCGAACGATAAAAATCCATGGGTTTTATTGTTCATAGTACAATGTTTATAATATTTTTACACGTATAATATCTTTGACCGCTACAAATTACAAGAAGTAAATATTTGATGCTATATTAATGTATTTATAACAAAATGTACAGTACAATATCCTATTAGGCACATTGATTGAAGTAGAAAAAGTATAATCCATCACATTTAAAATAAGTATTGTTGCTAAGTAACAGTTTGTATGTAACGTGCAACTGCAATCGGAACGAAATAAATTATATTTACTACTATATATGTAATCTACTCAATATCTCTAGCTAGGCTAGCACTAAAGTGAATATAATTTAGTGAATTCTAGAATATAGTGGTGAAAACAAATCAAAATTCTGAAAATGGCAGATGACGATACGTCGAGTCATGGAATGTACGGTATCATGAAACTCAAGGGTGCTTCGGACTTTCCCAACTGGAAATTTCAAGTACGTAATTATCTTGAAAATAAGGATTTATGGAAGATAATAGAGTTGGAACACTTTGTGACAAATTCAAAGATGACGACCGTAAAGCCCGTACTACGATTTGTTTATTATTAGATTCCTCATGTTTTACTTATGTATATAATGCGAAGACTGCTAGAGAAGTTGGTTGAGACTCTGCAGAGCATTTGAGGATAAAGGTTGGGGAAGACGCATCACGTTACAGCGACAGCTTGGGCAATGCAAACTTGAAAATTTTTCTATGAATAAGTATATATCGCAAATAATATACTTATCGCAGCAGTTAGCTGATATTGATGCAGAAATATCAGATGATTGGATTATTTCCATCATGTTAAGTGGTTTGACTGCGGAATATAACCCGCTCATAATGGCTGTAGATAATTGTGGCAAAACAATTACTCTTGAGCAAATAAAAACCAAACTGTTACAGGAATCGAATAGACAGTCGGAAGGAAACTCAAGTGAAGTACAAGCTCTATCTGTAAATAAAGCACGAAAATCTGCGGGATCATATAAAAAACCAATCGATCGTAAGCAGATGACTTTTAAGTGTTTCAAGTGTCATAAACCAGGACACAAGGCATCAGAATGCAAAGAGACAAAGCAATATACTAAGAATGTCTCTGGGTTAGTTTGTCTGAACATGGGAGAAACTAATTCGAAAAATTGGTATCTGGACAGTGGCTGTTCTAATCATATGACGCACGATAAAAATAAGATATCGAATTACAAAAGTCAAAAAAGTGACTTAAAAGTGAAAGTAGCGAATGGTCAAGAATTACCAGTACAGGGAAAAGGAAATGTCGAAGAACATCTAAATTGAATTTAGAAGATGTTTTACATGTTCCCGATTTGTCCAAGAACTTAGTCTCGGCAAGCAATCTTTTGAAATTAATTTAAACCAAGAAGGTTGTAGCATTAAGAAAGAAAATAAAATTATTGCGGTTTGTCAAGAAGTTTGCGGAATATATGAAATAAAAGAAAAACCGATAGTCAACTTGACATTGTCAAATAAATTAATTTCAAATCTTTGGCATAAACGTTTGGCTCACCTAAGTGGAAAAAATATGTAAATTGAATGGATTAGTAACTGGTATGAATTTAAAATCGACAAATTTAAGTGAACCATGTGTACCTTGTATTAATGGAAAGTCATGCAAAAGTCCCTTTAAAAATCAAGGTACGAGAGCTACGGATATCTTGGAAATAGTGCACACTGATCTCTGTGGCCCAATTGAAACATTCTCTAAGCGGATGAGGTACATGTTATTATTTATTGACGATTTTTCAAGAAAGACACATGTATATTTTTTGAGAAATAAAAATTAAACATTTGCTAAATTTCGCGAATACAAGGCAGAAGTAGAGAAACAAACAAACAAATCTATTAAATGTCTAAGATCTGACAACGGTTCAGAGTATTGTAATCGTGTTTTTGACAAATTTTTGAAGTCCTCAGGTATACAACATCAGACCACCGTACCATATACACCTGAACAAAATGGTGTAGCTAAACGAGCAAACAGATCCATCATGGAGAAGGTGAGAACATTGCTTTATGAAGCAAATCTCAGTAAGAAATTTTGGGCAGAGGCAGTGAACACCGTAACATATTTAAAGAACAGAAGTCCTACAAAAACTATTACCAATGCTGTACCAGAGGAACTATGGACAGGAAGAAAAATTGATGTAAGTCAAGTAAAATATTTTTCCTGGCGATAACGTTTCTGATGAAATGAAAAGCACAGTGGTTCCTATAAATTTGGAGGAGGTTCAAAAAGAATCTGTGACAAGAACATGCCCTGAACGGAACATAAATCATGACATTAACTCTTTAGAAGCTGATTCAAGCACACTTAATGAACCTGTCAACAGTGAGATTTTGGAGAGTTCAGAAGCTGAAATCGAAGCTGATCCTGTGGAACCCGAGAGGAGATACCCTCTTTGAGAACGTAGATCTGTAAATTATTACCATTGTAATGCTATTGCAGAAATTGATGGCGATCCATTAACAATAAAGCAAGCATTAGCGAGATCTGATCGTAATTTATGGCAGAAAGCAATTGATGATGAATTGCGATCACTAGAAGAAAATCAGACTTGGAAGATAGTAGACCTTCCACCTGATAAGAAGGCTATTCAATGCAAATGGGTATTCAAAATCAAGAGAGATAGTGATGGTAAAATAAGTAAATATAAGGCTAGATTAGTTGTCAAGGGCTACACACAGGTACGTGGCATAGATTATAATGAAACCTATTCACCAGTGATAAAAGTTCAACTTTAAGGTTACTATTCTCATTAGCTGCTGAATACGATTGGTTTATTGATCATATGGGACGTTACTACTGCATTTCTATATGGGAAATTAAAAAAAATATTTACATGTAATCAGCCCGAGGGGGCGATTGTTAAAGGTCAAGAATCAAAAGTATTAAGTTGCAAAGAACTTTATGGTCTGAAACAAGCTTCGAATGCTTGGTTTAATGAGTTAGATAGGGAAATGTTGAATTTAGGTTTCGAACAATCTAAAATAGAGATGTTTATATCAAAAACTGTTAGATGATAATAAATGGAAGTTAATTGTTTTTTTTGGACGATATTTTTGTTTTTGGAAATTGTGAAAACGAAAAACAGAAACTGAAAGAGGGGCTACTGAATAAATTTAAAATTAAAGGTTTAGGTCCTGCTAGGTATATTTTAGGTATGCGGCTGAGGAGACTAAATGGTGTCTTATATCTAATCAAGAACAATATATAACAAATGTCTTGAAGTCCATTGACTGTAAACCAGTTAAAACCCCAATGGAGCTAGGTCTTAAATTAGAAAAAGCATCAAATTCGAATACTTGCCATATCAAAATTTAATAGGATGTATAATTATTTCGCTGTAAATTTAGACCAGACATAGCACATGTTGTTAGTTTATTATCTCAATTTAATTCCTGTTATAATGAATTACATTTCAATTGTGCTAAACGTGTTTTACGCTATTTAAAGGGGACATTGAGTCATTGTCTTTCTTTTAGAAAATCGAAAGATGTTAATTTTTATGGCTATGCAGATGCGGATTGGGGTGGGTCTTATGACAGAAAATCTTTTACAGGTTTTATTTTATATATTATATCGTGGGAAAGCCGAAAACAACAATGCGTATCACTCTGAAGCAGAATACGTAGCTCTGTGTAAATGCCTCTACAATGAAGGCTGTATATTTAAATAATATACTTAACAGTTTATTTAACACAAGTAGTAAGCCAGTTTTGATTTATAATGATAATTTGCGCATAAAATAGCTGCAAAGAAAATGAATCACAATAGGACTAAAACATAGATATAAAATATAATTTCGTTAGAGAGGCAGTGGCTAATAATAGCATTATAATTAAATACTTACCGACCGAAAAAATGATAGCAGATATCTTGACGAAATGTGTATCAGGTCCGAAGTTAAATTATTACTCAAATATTACAAAATTATTCTGTTAAGGGGGCGGTATAGGTCCAACAGAAATTGTTAGTATTTTAACAGATTTAATTTTGGATATGTTTTTTGCTAAGTTCTATTGTTTATCATCTGTATATTGTTTTATATTATGTATGTTATTTAAATGTAGAGATGTAGAATGTCTTAAATGTAATGGATTAAGGGACCGTATTAGGCACATTGATTGAAGTAGAAAAAGTATAATCCATCACATTTAAAATAAGTATTGTTGCTAAGTAACAGTTTGTATGTAACGTGCAACCGCAATCGGAACGAAATAAATTATATTTACTACTATATATGTAATCCACTCAATATCTCTATCATATCCATCGGTTCAAGAGAATTTATTTTTGTCCAAGGTTTTTTAATTGGGTATAAACTGAGTATGAAATGCGTATCCAATACGCCATTGTCACCTATCCGCAGCGCTGAATATTTTAAATGTGTGAAAAATTATATTCAGTATATTCCAAACGTAGGTAAGTTTACAACATTCTGTGAACAATAGCCTAATTGTGATTAAACATCGCACTTGTGGCGGCCATCTGTGTTTATTGTTTAAAATTTTTTCGTTTTAATGAGTAACCAATACTAAGACTCGCTCACTTTGTCATTGTGATATAACTGTGTTTTTATTAAAACCATTTGTCAAGTACTGTGATAGTTCAGTATCTACATGTTTTTAGAAACAGATATCTCTTGATTGTCTACCCTTTCTCCCATATTTCACCATAAAGATAATAGTGGTGAATGTGAACAAACGTGTACATGATAAGTACGTAATCAGACCGACTAGGAAAGTGTTAAACAAATTTATCAACTACAAATCGATCGACATTCCTCTGGACATTGACCACGATGTCAGATATTGCTATATCGCTCTATCTTATAGGTACGTTAACGATTTGTTATCTATTACATTATAAACAAAATTAAATATGAAATGTAATATATATAAACTGATAAAACATATTTTGTATATACTCGTAAAATTTCAATAATATGAATACAACGGGACTGCTGAATATGTACTAATGTACATGTTAGGTACTTTTTTGTAATAATGTTATATAAACAATTTTGTAGGTCTGTAACTTTAAAAATTAACAAATTTCTACTACAGAAATTCTCGTTAACTTTTAATTGCTCTCAACTAGGCAGATAACTTAAACGTAAAATGAACTTTATTTCTTTTTACTTTATTAAATTTCTACCAACGGTCTTTGTAATTACAAACTACGTTAGATTAAGTTGCATAAGATAAATGTGGTATACTTTTATTAATTTATTGCAATTATTATCTTCACTCTCCTAATATAAAAAAATAATCATATCTTATCACGTTTTATTTCTGTTATTGATTTCCTGATATTTTAGTCAGAGTAGCGTATATGTCATGTTCACTGTTGAACAGCTGGTAGATGTTAAATTTTGTTGACATATTTGTCTATCATCACATATAATTACAGTAGAATATTGTTATACTAACCTGAGGTATGCTTAATATAAGACTTAAAGTCCACGCAATAATGACTAATCTTCCACTCCGAGTCGCTGTAGCCATACTCTTCATGGGATACTTTACAGCAAGCCATCGATCTACTCCAATAAGAACTAATATAAATGTACTCAGGTACAAAGCAAACATCTGAAGAAATTTAAACAGCTTGCAGCCAATATTGCCCGCATACCATTGTACTGTTAAAAACCATGCAGCCTCACCAGCTATGCAAAATATAGATACAAGGAGATCAGCTATACTGAGTTGAAATATGAGACTGTAGATAGCTGTCCACGAGGGTCTGGCTCTTCCTCTGCTACGTTTCCCTCTTTTCAAACTTACTATGGTAGCTATATTACCAAAAAGAGATAATATGGCCATTGCAACAAGAACACTAGCTCTAATTATAGTGCTCTTAGTCAAAACTGGGGCATGATCTAAACACCTCAAGTGTGTTCCATTATATACAAATGTGCGGTTCGTATAGTCTTCAGTCTTAGAGTTATTTATGTGAAGCATTTCTATACATTTTTCTATAGGCCATGCTATTATAATGTTGCTTGTTATGATTTCTTTGGCGTCACTGAACTCCCTTTGTAGTGTGAGTTCACTTGGATAGAAAATGTCGTCATATAATGTGGTATTGTTGCCTGCGCTCTCCATGTTTCGTCATACGTATTCAAATACCAGTTTTATGATCTGAAACAATAATATAACATAAGTTATCTATATTATAAATTATAAAAAGGTAAAGTTATGTGTTTAAATTTTCGGTATTACTGGTTCGATTTTGAAAATTTTTATTGTATATCGTCGAAATATATTGTCGTCGTATTGTCGTAAAGGCTATATAACATCCCGCTTCGACTAATGGGATTGGAGCTGCAAAATATTTCGAAATCGGAGAAAATGTCATCCATTCGTAATTGCGTTTATCAGCCAGTAGTAAGTATAATCTATTATAGCACTTTTGGAACCAAAAACTATCCAACTTCCTATTCGTTTAATTATAATTAAAAATTGGCAGTAAACCACAACGCAAAAATTACATTATTTTATGATACCAGTATAGATTATAGATAGATTGGTACGTATAAATAATATTTACGTACATAAACAGCAAAAATTTCTCAAATAATTTTTCAAATATCAGTAAATACTTATTTGGTACTTATGTAAATGGTATGATATAAGGTATGATGATAAGAAGTATGAGGACGGTAAGTACTAGTATAATTAAAACTAAAAGCTTTCACATATTCAAATTTTTTGATGATTCACTTAATTTAAATGCATTTAAAAATTCTTGTAAGGAATATATTTTTTTATTGTATCAGACAAGGTTGGTTGAGAATTTTCACTCTCGTAAATTAATGTACGGTTAGCTCAGACGATTCTGTCGGAACTATTATTGTCATATTTTTGAACATGTATAAATATATATATTTTATATTAAGTTTATTATTAAGGTTTATTTACTTAAGAGAGCAATACGCATGTTTTTAATCGTTCTTCTTGTAATGAATGAGTCTGTGTTCCGAATGTGTGGCAGAATAAAAAAATATGCCTATTTGAAGGTTTTAAGCTTATTTGAACAAAGATTAATTCAATGAATTAAAAATTACATGATAATTAATTTTTCAACATAAATCATATTTTTTTTAAATAATTCTTTTAAACAAATATGCATGACTGTAAAATATCTATGATAAAAATTCCAACAAATACAATAGCAAGAAATTGAAGAGTATTTCCTATATCATTTTAAATATCAAGGACTGTGTTACTACAATACTATTATTTTCGATAGTCTTAATTAGTTTATAGAAAACATATTGCATCTCGGAGAACTAGATTAAAACTTCTTTGACCTCTTGTCTAGTTTTTCGATATAATACTCTTAATACTCGTGTTGATTTCCAATAGAAAATACTCGGAATATTTTCTGTTAGAAATCATTAATTTCATAATGTAATTTTGTTTATTAACAAAGGAACAAAATGCAATAATAGAAATAAATTAAATGGAGTGAAGTATATTAATGTAAAAGCAAAACCACAAAAGTTATTTGTACTCGAACAGTATCTTGTTCTGTAAGTTTGTTACAGTTCTTTCTTAGCTTTGGTGGACAAAAAAGACTGTTCTAGAACTTATCTAATTTTCACTTTTCCTAGACCGTATACAAGCTATTTTACTAAAAAAGTATCACGGATATACATTTTATTAAAAAGGGTCATTATAAAATATTACACAGTCTTTATAATTAATATTATTATACGTTTTTGGATTGCCGTACGATATAAAGAGCCCTTCGCAAAAGTCGCAAATATATAGACGTACTTACCTTTTACGAAATAATTGCCTAATTTGTAGTTTGACTTTAAGTAGCAGACTAAGACTGTTTAGGACAAGCCAAAAGCCGTCTCTCGGAATAATTTTGTTTTAATTATTGTTGTTTCTACCACAGAATATTTAGTCAATTGTATAATTATGTTGAAACCCGCAGATTTTTTTTAAGTCTGCTATATTTGAAGTCACAATCTTTTGAATATAAATCGGTATAGAGAACCACTAGACCACTACGCTTTTAAAATATAACAAAATGTGATAAATATAATTTAACTTAGCAGTAACGGAAAAAGCAGCATTTTAAGATAAAATATTGCCCATATAATCGAATTTTCACTAAAGAAAAATACAAGAATTTTTACTTCTACAATGTTAATGCTTAGAGTAGCTAATAAATATTTATTTAGATAATAGCAACAAAGCTTTCTCGTCGCTCTTAAAATCCATTCCAATGTAATATTTATACCTCATTAAACATAAATAAGGTATTAAAATGCAACGGATTTCTATTATTTCGAATTTGTTAATGCTATGAAATATTTATATATTTTCTTTGGTAACCACATATTTCATCTCTCTGGGCACAATATGTACCTATACACTCACTTATTTTATAATTATTATATTTATTTAATGTTCTAGTCTTAGGTGTGAAAAATTATAAAAATTTAGTTTAAATTAAACATTTTTTGGTTGTCACATTTACAAAATTATATTGTATTAATACATTGATTCCTATGTTATAAAGATTTCTAATTGTTTATATCAACGTTGTACAACGATGAAATCATATTCGTAGTTTATATTTAGAAATTTCAGTCTTACACCATTTTAAACATAATCCACAGTGAAATATTATATACACCGCAATTATTTAACAGAAAAAGTAGAAACGCAATCTGCTCATTTAGCGAAACAAATAATGGCCGGTTAACTCTATTTATATACAAGAGTTTATTAAAGATTAATTTACACAAGTTTACAGAACAACATTGCAAATATGAAATTTCTTGAAATGTAATGATAATATTATAAAGGCACTTTTAATGATATTATTACATCACTCATTTGTAGTTTATATTTAGTAAAGAATAATTAGGTTTAAGATTTAAAATATCATAAAATGAACTTCTCAATTTTAGGATTATTTTGTGCGGTTATTATGCGACGATATAAAAATTGAGAGTGGTTATTCACGTCCAATCGATAGAATTAATATTACTTGTAACAAAAAAAATTACATGCTCATCCGTTTAGCACTGGTAACACCTTCCGATGGTCGCGGGTTCGATAACTCGCACGGTACAACCATATATGTATTTATGAGTATGCACATTTGTTTAGTCGTATAGCATGTTGTTATTAGGTGCTTCCTAGGTATAGTCGTGTATTATAGTCTTATATAAAAAAAAACATTAAGAAAAGATGGTGAAGTGTGAATTATCTTGAGTCATAATTATTTTAAATAATATGCGTAACAACTGCTTTTTACAGTATCATCTACAGTAATAACATAATATAATTAATACATTAACAACATAACCTACTAATCTTGACAATATTTTTAAGACTTGTCATGTATTGTACTTATGAAGTCTTTTATTAATATATTGTTCCTTACAAAGTGTATTTCATATTACTTTTCCGTATACAATGATCAAAAGTATTTCAGGTTTACATAAAATTTGCAACACGAAGAATAAACAGGCTGCCATTATATTTCTGGAATGTGTTCAAACAAACACTCTCACAGAATTTTCGGGATAGGGATTTTACAAATATTTGTTTTTAGATTTCTAAAATGGAGTGTCATATTGTCTTTGTTATTTTCTACGCAATAATCATTCAACAATCATATTTCTTTTAGTCTTTGAGTCTTGTTTTGTTCTTGTTCCTGTGGGATTATGAACATATTATTTAACTTAATAAGCTGATACCATTAGAAGTATGTGATGAAATTAAAATGGCATTTTTTAAGTCTAATATATAGATATTCTCACATTTCTAAAAATTAGCTATTTATGAGGACAAATATATATTATGTTTCTTTGTAGGTAAATAATTCAACGTAGCCATTTTTAAAATTATGCATAGAAATAAATTTAATAATGTCCAATAACTTGAATACGTATAATTGATTTAAAAATAAAAAATAAATCATTATTACAACATATCTGTTCTTATTTTTATTTGCAATCTGTCGTGTTTATTGCTTGTAACTATCCATCTTTGTAGCTGAGATACATTTTGTATTGTTATATTTTTTTCCTACACTGTAATGCTCACAAATTTACATAATATTTATAATAATATCCAAATGATGCTTCAATAACTTATAATGAAGCTAAGCTCAAATTTCCATAAATTGATCTTGTTAGAACATAATAAACAGCTCAGTACCAGCAGAGTTTTAAGTCGTTTATAACTTCTAATGCTTATTAAATTTGCCTAATTTAACTTATTATATGCTAATAAAACCGTATTAAAATTTTAAAAGTTGATATGTTACAATCATTAAATATCTCATCTTTTAAAAAAATCACATAATTGTTCCCGAATTTGACTCAGAGATTGCTCTATAAACATAAAAATTAAAATTGTTGATTGCTGCCTCCTTTATTAAAAAAATAAACGCAAAAGGTACTCAAGACTTCATAAGAATTGTATCCTAGGATACAATTCTTCTTCACAAGAATAAGAAATTATATTTAATTGAGACTGAGCATTTTAGCTGCTTATGCAAAATTTTGTATAAATATTTTCCAGTTCAGCAAGCAGGTAGAGAACAATTGAAAACAAACTTGACTATTTTTCTCTTTAAATCTGTTGCTATTTTTTAAATATTACTGAAATAGTGACCGCCGCCTATATAAATAAGCAGCTTTGAGTCAATGTGTCAATTATGGATTGCCATTCTGAAGGACCAATATGTTATACATCTGTACTGAATGTTGCCTTAATACCAGCTGCCTGGCAACTGAAATCGGTTAGAAAGATGCAGATGACTTTCTACATTATAATATTATATTTAATTAAATATGCGTATATACATCCCGCCCAAGCATTTTAATCTAGAGATTGTTAGACATCTAACACATTCACTAGATTAAAACGCCCGTGCATGATAAAGTGATGCTGAGCCCGCTAAATCTTGTAAGTAATCCTTCAGTGTATAATGAACTTTGCTTAATAGGTTTTTATTAATGAAGATTTTGAATACAGTAATAATATATATAAACATCTGACATAGTTGGCGTATACTATGGAAAAATCTTATCCAGAATAGGTGCCTAATATTCTGCTAAAAGATTGCATAACAATCCATAGATTCTATGTAGTTTTTGTTATTA